GGAGAAAACTCAGCTAACAGATCACATGCAAATGTCATTTTTATTCCATTTGTCCGTGCTTCTGATTCTAACTGGACTGGAGGTTTGATTGGCAGAGGGAATTTGCCTCATTTTGTTTAAAAAAATAAAAAAATTTTTTTTGTTTGTTTTTTTCCCCAAATGTCACATCTTGGAACCAGGAATGAGGATTTCTAGCCATAAAAACAAAAGAGGCCTGGAATAGATTCAAAACACGTGTTCTGAAAACAGAGCTGGATGCTTGAGGGGCCATCACAGATTATGATCTCTAAATGTCGGTGTTTTCTGTGATTGAACACTAGCCCTTCCTAAATTCTGTGCTTGTGCATTTGGTTTTGGAATCTCTCTATTAATCTGTTCTTCTCCACTTAACTACAAATGACGCCTCGGTCTCTCTAATTTGACTTCGTTCCTGTTACCATCCAAGTTCCTGCAAGCAAAAATAAAACCCAAAGGAAGCAGATCTTTTTATCCATCTGTTAGGACAACGAGGAAATAACATTCATCTGATTTTCTAAAGTAATTGCTTTCCCCACATTAGAATCACAGAAAAGAGAGCCTATTTGGGGTTGACACAGAGAGAAAAACTTTAGTGAAGACGTCGCAGTAAAGAAAGAACTGAATTGGAAATGATTTCAGGGCTTGTATCGTCCCACAAGGTGATTCTCTGAGACACAGCGTTGGAACAGGACTTAGGGAAACTGCTCCCTCCATCCTCACCAGTGTGTCTCTCCATTCGTCTGGTAGATGTTATTTGCATGCTTGGACACTGGGATAAGACGACCAGACAGCCTCCTTACCTACAGGGGGGCTCACCATCTGCGAAGTCCTGTGGTCATCTGGCGTCTCCCAGGAAAGAGTGGGCGGTGCCATTATTGCTGGGTGTTCATGCAGCTTGAAATGTTTCTAGAGTGTTTCTGTCTGTTCCTTAGTGAATTGGTCAGTTGACTGGTTGATTACCTCTCTGGCGCTCCCATGCCTTGCCCATCGTCTCCTTTTCCCACGTCACTTGGCTTTTGTGGGGTGCTGTGTAGACAGAAGAGCTTTCTGCCTGTGCTTCGAAGCCAAGGTGATGTGAGTCTGTCGGGATTCCCCTGGGGGACAGGAAGATCGACGGAGACACCAGGGATTCCGTCAGGAGACTTGTACTTGTGGTGCTGTGAATGTCCCTTGCGTGCCCAGCCACCTAGTGTGTACGAGCCCAGTGAGGAGAGTGGAGATTGAACCACGAGTCGTTGGAGAGTGAAACCAGTCCCGTGCTGGGGGCGACCAGGAACGAGGGCCCCGTGTGAAGGGCCCTGTGAGCAGAGAATGTGACCCAGAGAGAGAAACCCAGTGCTGTCCCAGGGCTCATCATGAACAGATGGGATCCGGAAATAAAGCCACCACCTCTCAGATACGGAAACCGCATTTAGACGTGGGCCTGGCCGTCTCCACACCCAGATCAAAAATGTCGATGTGAATTCGAGCAGTGTGCATGGGATTTCCAGAGCATTTGCTCCGTGTGTGTGTGTCTCTGTGTGTGTGTGTCTATATATATTCTTTTTCCTTTTGGCCCTCCGGTCCTTTCCGCCCTATCACAGGGTGTTTGGGCTGCTGAGCGGCATTCACCATGGCCTTTCCTGGGGACTTTCCTCTTTAGATTCGTTTCGTTTGGCTTCGCTGCCCTGTTGCAGGCCTTTCCCCTCCCGTTGCCCCCGCAGCGGCCAGGCCCATGAGGAAGAGCGGCGTGGCGCGGGGTCCAGCCCCAGAGCGGGTCGCAGGGCTCAGGGAGTCTCCAGTGCATAGAGCCCGCCAGGCCTCCCTCCTCCTGGACCTGCAGGAGCAGTGTTCCCCGTGGTAACATGTCATTAGCATGTTCTTCAGGACAATGAGCAACCTAAGCCGCATATCAGTTGCTGGGACTCTAGAATGCAGCTGCCTTTTTCCGTGTTCCTTTGTACGGCTCCACTCGCCGCTCCTGTGTGTACCTAGGAGCAAATGCTTCAGTGCTTTTGCTGGCAAATCTCTAAGACATCCTTATTTTCTTTATCTGTGGATCTTACTATCACCATTGACTTTATACTTGAAGATTCAAAAAAGCGGAGGGCGGGGGATATACGTACATTAACACGGAGAGCGACAGGGCTGCATCTAACACATGCACAGCAGGCGCGCGCGCACACACACACACACACACACACACACACACATTCTCTACTGAGTAGTCATTGGGAACCTATTAGAAACAGATCGGAATATGACCCTACCAGAGCCCCAGGTTCCACCCTGTGGTCCTTCTTGTGACCCTGATTTCCTGAATCCCTAACTAGAGTAAGAAAAACCCACTAGTGGTTTTATGCCTTTGACTTTGTAAGTTTGGTGACGTGGAGGAGTAAAGAAAAAAATAAGGGGCTGGGGACAAGGTTCGCGCTGAAATTGCTGCGCTAACGTAAGTCTAACTGGAGTGCAGCGTTGGGGTGCAGCGCATTGCTAGGACCAGGAGAGACCATACAGCATGCATGCCTCCCCTGGGGAACCGTCCTGCAAAGGATGCCCCGCCGGGAAGACAGGAAGGACCTTGTGCCTGACAGAAGCCGGGACGTGGCCCTTGGGCAGACTCTGTGCAGCCCATCTTTTTTGCGCGGAGTCCTTCTTTCCCATCTGTGGGTTCTCTTGTGTTTCTGGGCAGATCTCCACACATCCTGTCTCATGCACTCTGCAAATAGAGCTCCTTTTTCGTTAAAGTATGAAATGTGAATCCAGATGGCCAAAAGCACTTAGATTTAAGCGATACATTGTAGCTAATTGAATTGTGAGTGTCTGTGAGGTGGTGGATATTTAGTAAGTAAGCGGCACCAGGTGCTTTCCTGCGGGTCTGTGGGTGCCGTTTTTCAAGCGTGTTCATAGGAGAGGTGAAAACCTGCAAACGTGGCTCAGCTCTTTGAAATGAAATATTGGGGAGGCGTTTGTAAATTGTCGTGGATTAGGTTTTTTTTTAAGATTTTATTTATTTATTCATGAGAGACAGAGGGAGAGAGAGAGAAGCAGAGGGAGAAGCAGGCTCCCAAGGAGCAGGGAGCCCGATGCGGGACTCGATCCCAGAACCCTGGGATCATGACCCGAGCCGAAGGCAGACGCCTAACCATCTGAGCCACCCAGGCGCCCCGTGAATTAGGTTTTGTGAGCTTAAGAGGCACAGTGGCTGAAACGGAAGGGGCACGTAAGGGCATTCGTTCCCCCCGCAGCAGGTCAAACCTACCCGTCGCAGCAAGACACCTGAGCTGTGAGTTACGAGTCGCAAACTGCGTTCTCAGCTCGGCAGAGTTTAAATGCGATTAGTAACCAAACAGCTGCTTGACTCTGTTCTCTGAACATCCGTTGCGATGTTCAAGTTATTTTGAAAACTTCTAGTTTCTTTTAGTATGTACCCGATAGGTATTTTTTTCTGAAATATCTAACTTCCTGGAACCGGGTTAATATTTTAAGCTCTTGTGCGTGGCTGTCTTGCCACCATGTGTCTTCTCAGCTGAGGCGGTGTGTTCAGCGTCTTGCCAGCAGACAACAAGACAGCCCTTTCTCTGGGCCCCGCTGGGACTTGAGCTCCCATGTCCTCTTCCAGACACAGAGAGCTTCTAGCTTCTAGCTTCTAGCTTCTAGCTTCTAGCTTCTAGCTTCTAGCTTCTCGGTGGGGCAGGGTCCGGCTGTGTCTGGCTGTGCTCCCCGCAGCGCAGGGTGGGGGCCTGGCCCCAGCTGGCTGACCGTGGGGAAGGGGAGGGAATTGGGCATGGTCTGGGTTCTGCTCTTGAGCATCTGTTAAACCTGGAGGAGCCCGTTCTCCCGAGGACATGGTCAGAGGGATGTGCACAGGGCACTGGACTTACAGGACAGCAGCCTGGGGGTTGGAGGGTGCAGGTTGGGACATCTGTAACACTCAGGCGAGGCATCCTGTCTCAGGAGGCCGGCTCACTCCTGGGTCGCAAGGCAGGTGCTGGAATGAGGCTCCTGCCCTGGGTGTCAGGAGGAAAGCCTTATCTGCTTGTTACTTAGTAGGTTACATCTCTTCTGGGTTGCTGGTGCTGTCTGCTGGTTCTCCCTTTGCTGCCCTTCTTAAAGAGTTTCCTTTAACAACACGGTTGTCTCCTCAATGCAAAACTGCTCTTCCCTGAATGGAAGATTCCATCAGAGGCTCGTTCTGTGACTCAGGTCAGAAGAAACCATGTGTTGGCAAAGGCATGGTGGCCCCGTGCTTTGTCGCAAGTTTGATAGTTGTTAGCCTGTGAGCGTTGAACCACACACGTGAAGCCTGCCTGTGGGAGTGTTTTTTTTTGCGGGAGGACCTTTCCGTGTGTGTGTGTGTGTGTGTGTGTGTGTGTGTGTGTGTGTACATATTAAATACATGCATATGTGCCTAGAAAGTAAAGATAGAACTGGAAACGGATCACAGGATGGAAAGACCAGTGAACCACTTACAGTGTCCAAAAGTCTGTGTTTTTCTCATTTTTTGATGATACATGACTGATTTTAAAGGTTTTATTAATAAATGGATTTGTGGCTCATGTTAGAAAGTTCTATCCCTTTGCATATTGGCAATTTCCCAAAGTAAGCCACATAAAAATACTGTTGCAACACAAAATAAGTATTTCTGAATATAGCCATATGAGAATTTACATCAACATTGTTTTTAAAAAATGTTTGTACCCCAGGATGCCACTTCTGTGTTCATGTATGTGTGTGTGCATCTGGTATGTGTGCATGTGTTTTTAATACTTCCCATCCTTTGACATGGCGTGCCAACATCCAGCCTGATGTCGTCCAGCATGTGTTTGGATTGTGTCTCTTGCATTACACATTGCAGCGGAGACAGGTGTGGGAAAACTTTGTATATGAATTTAATTCCTTAGAATGATCTCAGAAGATTATCGAGATCTGGGTTCTAGTCCCATTTGGAGAGAAGATGTTACTTGGAATCATTTGCTCATTTTTATACTTTCTCCCTCTAGACAAGCAGATGCCCAGGGTCCAGAAGCCTGTACGACAGCACAGCAGGACTCTCAGAAGCCGTCCCAGCTCTCTAAGCCACCTCCCACCTGGGAAGCTCCAGAGGTGCCCCAGGAGGCCCGCAGCCGAGCGGGGACCCTACCTCGAGATTACAGATACCCAGAGGAAACGCTCGGCCCAGGACCACACGTGCCGAGCGTCCCCGAGGCCCTGCACACTTGGGGGCAGGACCCGAGGCCCGTGAACACTGCACCGCTCCCCAAGAAGCCAGCCCCACAGAGGCCACCGCCGCCCAAACGTGAACCCAGGCAACTCAAGGGCCTGGCTGGTGGCACACCTGGGGCCGCTCACCTAGGTGCCCCCAGCAGGCCCTTTCCCCCCCGGTCCCCGGAGGCCCTGGAGGCGTGCGTGGACCGCCTGTCCCTGTCCCACAGCCCCTGTGCCTTGGTGGAGAAGCTGAGCAGTGCGCAGCCCGAAGACGGTGTGAGGGCCTCTGGCGAGCACGGCAGGCGGCATGTAGATGAGCACACAGCCTGCCCTAAGCGTGAGGCCCTGCTCCCTTCCAAGTTCCGGCCCCTGCAGACGTCCGCCATGGAGACCTCTCGCTCCCCTTCTCCTCAGTTCGCTCCCCAGAAGCTGACAGACAAACCTCCCCTGCTGATCCAGGAGGAGAATTCTGCAAGGTACTACCCTGGGACAGTGGCCCTGTGCGCTTCCCCTTTTCTGAGCTCCCGCAGGAGGTTTGTGGTGCATCTTTCCTGGGTGGTGGACGCTGGGTACCTTGCTTCAGCTACACACGTTGGATTTTAAGTTGCCTCTGGGGACTGACTCCATGGGGGAGAATCCACAGCTCCAGTGGTCAGTTAGATTTTGAACTTGGTGGGGGGGCTGTCCTGTTCCACAGGAGCAAGGGGGATGTGATAGAGGTGGGGAGCCATCCCCGGTCCCTTTCACCCAAGGCCAGCATTGATATATGCATCATCCACAGGCATGTGCCCGTCAGCGCTCTGTGTTCCCTAAGCACCTGTTTGTAATCAGAATCCGGTTTAAACTAAGCAGGAGACCTTCAGGAGAAAATGGTGTTTTTCATAATGTCCAGTGTTTCCACGCTGTTTTTTCTTTTTCTTTTTGAAGATTTTCTTTATTTGAGAGAGAGAGTGCAAGTGAGCACGGGGTAGGGAGGGGCAAAGGGAGAGGCAGAGAGAGAGAGAGAGAGAGAGAGAGTCTCAAGCAGACTCCCCACTGAGCATGGAGCCCGATATGGGGCTCGATCCCAGGACCCTGGGTTCATGAGCCGAACCGAAACCCAAGAGTTGGCCGCTGAACCGACTGAGCCACCCAGGCGCCCCTCCACACTGTTTTTCTACGTCTTATGTGAAAAGCCAGGCTGGTATACGCTTTTTGTTAAAGCAGAGGAAACATCTATTCTAGTTCGTGGTGCTGGTGTTGCAATTTCAGGCACAGGATTGTCTGCCATGCCCGCTGGGACGTTGGTAAGCGTGGTCAGGCGGGGAGCTGACAGGAGCGCCGACTGTTTCCTTTTTCCCTCCTGCCTGAGGGCCTTTGAAGAAGTGAGAACTGGAAGAAGCGGAGAATTTTCATCTTGTTCTCTAGAGCAGTGGTTCTCAAGCTGGGGGAGGGCCGTTTTGCCCCGAGGGGACATCTGGCTGTGTCTGGAGAGGTTTTGGGTGTCACAGCTGAAGAGGGAGTGCTGCTCCTGGCATCTCGTGAACAGAGGTGAGGGATGCTGCTCCACATTCTGCGGTCCCCAGGTCCGCCCCGCAGCCGGGAATGCTCTGGCCTGGAATGTCCCCAGCTGTCCCACACGGCCGCCAACAGTCACATGGGGCCGTGGGAACGTCCGTTAGTGAGAAATATAATAAATCCCGCGCGTCATTCGGAACAGTGTGCAGTTGGTGGCACCGGTAACCGGTTGTTTCCATCGTTCCCAGAAAGGTCTACTGGACCCTCCTGTTCTAGAGTCTCAAGCTCTTCTTTTTTTTTTTTAACTTCAAAATGTCTCCACAGAGAGGACATTGCTGGTATCATCCTGTGTGTCCAAGTGTGACATTGCACCCACAGCTGCGCTTTATGTCGTTTACGATGTGGGTGTCACTGAAACGTCCTTGCCGTGGCAGGTGACATTGTAAGCTGTGAGAGGAAGGAAAGGCTGTACAGTGGTCTGTGGTGGGGCAGGTATGTGACAGTGTTGCAAGCGAGCCAGCCTCTGCCCCTCCATCCTGCGTCCTGCGGAGCTAGCGTGAGGAGCATGGGCCCCTCGGACAAGCACCGCCACGTGCCCCACGGTGCTCCCGACCTGTGTTCGCTCTAGAAGCAGGCAGTAGCTTTCATTTTCCCTTGCCTGAAGCAAGTGTTGATTTTCTCATTCTGTCTGTCCTGTGAGCTAGAGAGGGATTTCGGTAAGCTGCGACGATACTATAGAAGATCCTGGCGGGGGTTGGGGGGGCGGGGGGGCCTGGGGGGTCTTTGGGGACCCACGGTATTGAGTTTTCTCATCCGCCATGCCCTTGGGGCCAGAAAGCGTTGGCTTTGCAGTATGTCTCTTGCTGTACAAGTGCTCACAGAGAGCTTGAACTCTGGTCGGCATCTGGACCCATCCCCAAACACGTCCTCTCTGCTCTTCTCGGGAAGCACTGGGAGGCACAGGGTGGCCGTGCTGCTTCCGAAAGTTACTACCAAGGAAGTCGCTCATAGGGGACTCAATTACCGTTCCCCACGGTGTGTGCTGTCAATCAGTCCTGGTGTGAAAGCGTGGAATCCCAGTGACCGACGAGACAAAGGAGAAGCCAGGGCCCAGGGGTCCTGGCTCTGCTCGGTGTCCACAGTCAGCGACCGACAGGTCCGCAAGGAAAGCGTGCCCGGGGCAGGGCTTCCCTCGCTGCCTGTCACTTGAGCTCGGCTCAGAGATACTGTTCTTGCCCTGCCCTCTGCCGACTTCGGAGTTCTGGAGCTTGAGATGCTCACCTCCTCTCCCTCCGCGTCTGGTGTCTCCCTCCTTCCAGTTACCCCTCGATCACGAATGTGCGTGTGCCGGCCACCTGCCGGGGTACCCGCCGGGGGGCAGGGCAGGCTCCCACACTCACGCACCTGCTGAGCAGTTCCCGTGGGCCAGGCGCCGAGCTGCTGAGACCAACAGGGTGCAGCATTCCTTCCCTCTGGGGAATTTCTGAACGGGCATTCATGTTCCCCCCTCCCCCAAAATGCATCAACTCTTGTCCTGAAACTAGGTAGCTTACTTTCAAATCTTTAAAAGTTCTCTCCGGGTTTCTGGTTGAAACTACAAAATGGAGGCGCTGGCCGGCAGCATCTCTGGCGGTGGCCAGTGACAGGGATTTGATCACCCCCAGAAGCGTTCTCAGGAGCGATTTCCCAAGAGCCTGTTCCCATTTGGGAGCAGACAAGCATAGAGTGCCGGTTCGGCTCCCTCACGGCCACGTGCACAGCCTTAGCGCCGTCACCTCGAGCCTGTGCGTTTGCGAGTCTCCTGAGTGGGTCGTGGAGTTCCCGCGAGCCGGCGCGGCGTGCAGCTGCCGGGCTCCCTCGGCAGTGGGCGTGAGTGGAGCCGCGTGGGGCGCTTGCTGCCGGGGCCGGGCTCCCGTGGGCAGCAGGCGCTTTGAGAGCAGCCACGGGGCACCCCACCTTCTCCGTCCCTCTGCTCTTGCCTGTTGGTTAGGAATTGATGAGCTCTGGTTGCGGTCAGGTCTAATCTGTTGTGTTTTGTCCTGGCTTTGAAGTAAAAATTCATCAGACTTTTTTTAAATGTGGAAGTCTGGACAGTTTTTCGAGAGGAGAGACCAGGTGTGCTTAGAGAAGATACTAGAGATGCTTTGCTGAAAAGTGTAGGTCAACGTGTGAAGAACGTGTTTTCATTGTGTTCTTTTTTTCGTGTCCTCCTGCCCTGGAAATCCAGTTTCTCCACAAGTGGGAGAAGATAAATAGAGGTGGACTTAGGAGTCAGTACGAGGGCGGTGCCTGGCTGGCTCAGTTGGGAGAGCATGGGACTCTTGATCTCAGGGTCGTGAGTTCAAGCCCCACACTGGGCATAGAGCTGACTTGAAAAAAAAAAAAATTCAGGGTGAGGGACGATGGGTACTAAGGAGGGCACGTACTGCATGGAGCACTGGGTGTTATACGCAAATAATGAATCATGGATCACTACATCAAAAACATGATGTGATGTATGGTGATTGACATAGATAGATTAGATAGATAGATTAGATAGATAGATAGATAGATAGATAGATAGATAAATTTGGTGATAGGTGGTCCAGGTTTCTAGGTGTGGAATGAAAGGAATGCAGAGGGGTTCTTGTCTCTCTGTCTTTGCTTAGATAAGATGCCAAAAGTTTCCTTCTGGAGTTTAGCACATCTAAATGGCATTTTCTACAGAGCTGGGCCTTTTAAAATTTATTCACAAAGAAGGCATTAGGCGAGGACTGTACATGAATACCTAGATAAAACATCTAATGATTTCTACTGGAGGAGAGACGAGAATACAAAATTATTTTGGCCTGTGCAGCGCAGTGAACAGGGAAAAGAACATAATGTGTTCCCCGCTGCCAGATAAAAGGCAAAGAAAAGCATTTAATTTAGAACACTGGAGCATTCCTTGTGCTGCACAAAATTCGGTCCATTAGGATCACGTTGTAGAAATGATCTTAGCCCACTAAGTTAGAAACAAGTACTTTGGCTTCATGATTTTGACTTGATTTTCCTTCCCTTGTGGGCACCAGCAAATGGCTCTCTTTCTCCAATATGTCCTTTAAAAAATAACTTGAAACAGAGTTTTGTCTCGGTGGCCCTGGTCCCACAGGGTCCCTGGGTGTGGTCCAGCAAGGTGTAGCTGAGGACACCAAGCGGCATTCAGGGTATCCTGCATGAAGCCCCATCACACCGACCAGTTCCGTGTTGTCTCTCTTCCGTGTGGGTCCTCCCCAGCTCCTTTCACTGCGAAACCTTCTTTATTAATTTTTTTCTTTTCTTTTTTTTTTTTGTTTTTGTTTGTTTTTTGTGTTGTTTTCTTTTTTTTTATTTAGAGAGCATGTGCGAGCAGGGGGGCAGGGAGGGGCAGGGGAAGAAGAGAGGGAGAGACAATCTCAAGCAGGCTCCACACCCAGCGCAGAGCCCCACGTGGAGCTCAGTATCACGACCCTGAGATCATGACCTGAGCCGAATCAAGAGTCAGGCGCTCAACCAACTGAGCCACCCAGGTGCCACCCCCCGTCTTTTTTTTTTTTTTTTTTTTTTTAAGGAAAAGTGTGTCCTCAGTGAGTCACTTAAACTAATGCAGAAGTGGTGTGCCCTGTGTTTGCTGCCAGATCCTTGTGTGGCTGGTTTGAGAAGCCGTGTCAAGGGTGGCTTGAAGTGGTGGAAGGCAGGTGGAGGGTGACAGCCGGTGCACACAGCACGGGAGGAAGCTTCAGATTGGGGCCAGCGGATGCATGGTGCTCAGTGTCCACACTCAAAACATGGCCGCTCTGTAGGGAAGTCCTCCCGCGGCCCCAGAACCACACAGGCCCCCGTGGGTGTGCACTGGCCCTGCTTTGAGACTGTCATGACAGTTCTGTTAGAGAGGCCTGTCTGTCGCGGCTTTCCCCGCCCAAAGATAACGTCACTGAACAGGGCTTGTGAATGTGTGCACGATGGCTGGCATGAAAACGAGGGCCCAACCATCTACCTCTCAGTCAGTAAGCCCAGGGATCCAGCCTCAGGCGTCTGTAGCTGTGTGGGTGACTTTGAAAATTGGAAGGTGCCCCAGACGCTCAAGGGCAGGAAATGGAGCCTCCTCCACCTCCATTCCCCATCCTCGGTCGTGGGATTGTAGAGGTTCTCCCTCCACTGCAGTGGCCCGCACGTCCCCCAGCCGTCAGGGCAGGCGAGGGACCGGCCGGTTTCTGTGCCGGGGAGCAGTCCGTATGGGGGCTCACTTTGTTTTCAGCACACGGCTCTTGTCTTTCCAGAATTGAGCGGGTGATGGACAACAATACCACGGTGAAGATGGTGCCCATCAAGATTGTGCACTCGGAGAGCCAGCCTGAGAAGGAGAGCCGCCAGGGCCTGACCCGCACTGCCGAGCTGCCTGCACTACCCAGCGGGCTGGAGAAAGACCAGATCAAGACACTCAGCACGTCCGAGCAGTCCTACTCGCGCTTCTGCCTGTACAGCCGCCAGGGTGCTGAGCCCGAGCCCCAGCGCCCCAGCGCCCCAGCGCCCGGCACCAAGGACAGCGGGGCCTCTCCCTCCGGCCTCAGCTACGTGAAGGCCAAGGAGAGGACAGCCGAAGACCTGAAATCGGAAGAGCTGGCCCGGGAGATTGTGGGGAAGGACAGGTCCCTGGCCGATATCCTGGACCCCAGTGTGAAGATCAGAACCACCATGGACCTCATGGAGGGCATCTTCCCCAAAGACGAGCACCTGCTGGAAGAAGCTCAGCAGCGCCGGAAGCTGCTCCCCAAAGTCCCGTCTCCGAGAAGCATGGAGGAGAAGTGAGTAAGGCTGCCTTCCGTTCTGCAGCTGGCCGAGTGTGCTTCTGCCCTCTCCGCAGCTCTCAGGCTTCAGGGGGCAAGGGGCTGGTCCACGGATCTGTTTTCGTGATGGCTTTTCGGGGGCACGTTTTCATAAGCACTGCCCACTGCTTGTAGACCATGTTGGCTGTTTTGTGACCCTCCCAAAAGAGCCACTGAGGCCTGTTCCTGCAGATGCCACCTTGGGGGCCTGGAAAGATGTGAAAATACCACAGTTCCTGCGCATTCTTAGCTTGAGGCCAGCGTGGTTCAGGGTGATGCCCATGGGCTCCTTTCTCAGAAGACCACGCTTCTCAGCTGGGACACTGTCTCTCCTCTCCCCCTCCCCCCCCCCCCAGCCCCAGGGGACAGTTGGCAATGTCTAGAACGTGTTTAGTTGTCACACCTGGGAGGTACTGCCAGCATCCTGTGGGTGGAGACCGGGGAGGCTTTCGACAGCCTCCCGAGCCCAGGACGCCCCCATAGCAGAGAAGGCCCCGGATGTCCGTCCGTGCTTACGAAGGAGGCTTTGTGCTCCTGGTTATGGAGCACAGTGAGTGGGTGCGTTGCCATGGGTTGCTAGACCGTGCTTTGCAGCCTGTCGCATTCACGGGCTGCCTGCACGGGCCTGCGTGGTGGCATCTGCCCTGGTGGTGTCCACCGTCTCCATAAGCACTCTTCACGGACAGTAGGTGGGAGCGCCAGTGAAATGCAGCACAGAGGGACAACGGGGGTGAGGCGGACCCGACCATGGGGCACGGACGTGGCGGCAGGTAGAAAGGCGCAGGTTGCATTTAGGACCTTGAGGCCTCTCTTACAGGTAGCTGTGTGCGCATACTCCTCGTAGACCTCAGGCTCCTGGCGAAAGCTCTCCCTCTACTCCGTTCCCTCCCAGGGGGAGATTTTTAGACATCCTGTTTACTTGACCTTTTCCCCTTTTTAAAAAACTGTATTCCGTAGACTCGAGAAGTATCCATTTGGCGACACATTTTTTTTTAGATCTGTCACCTACTCCCCTGCCCCCTTTGGCTGTCTCTTGCCCCTGGCTCTTGTCCTGGGGTTGGCACCACCGTTTGCTTGTCACAGAGCAGGCCGTGGGCCGGAAGGAGGTGTCTGGGCATGGAGTCACGGCCGATTCAAGTTCTGACCTTGTTCCCCAGGAGAGAGGAGCCGGCCGTGCCGGTGGCCGCGTCCCTCGCTACCAACTCGACCTACTACAGCACGTCGGCCCCCAAGGCAGAGCTGCTGATTAAGATGAAGGACCTACAGCAGCAGCAGGACCCAGAGGACGACTCGGGGAGTGACTTGGACCACGACCTGTCGGTGAAGAAGGTAGGAAAGCCCGTTGTCAGTGACGGCGTGCTCAGAGGCAGGCAAGGGGCAGTGTGGGCCTGCGCCACGTGTCCAGGGGCCTTTGTGTTCAGCTTTTGTGCAGGACAGTGACATTTGGGACAGCAGTAGTAAGCCCTTCGTGACCAAGTTCTTCCACAATTGGGCCTTTTCCCTCACGGTCTCTTTGCCATCTTTTTTTTTTTTTTTTTTTTTTTAAGATTACATTTATTTTGAGAGAGAGAGAATGAGCAAGAGAGAGAGCACAAGCCAGGAGGAGCGGGAGAGGGAGAAGCAGACTCCCCGCGGAGCAGGGAGCCCGATGGCGGGGCTCGATCCCAGGACCCTGGGACCATGACCTGAGCCGAAGGCAGGCGCTTCACCGACTGAGCCACCCAGACGCCCCTCTTTACCATCTTTGTATAGTAAGATCCAAGGTCATATTAAGTGGGTACCATTCTCATTCAGAAAGTTCAATTGACATGGCCCTTCTATCCCATTTAAAATCTAGGGGACTAGGGCACACACTCGTGCTCACTTGCTCTCTTTCTCTCAAATAAAATCTTTTAAAAGAGAAATAAAAATAAATTCTGGGGACTTAATTGTATGACCTCTAGCAACTCACATGTTCTCCCTGCCTTCCCTGAGCGGGAGCTTACGTTCAGCCAACACAAAAACATATATACCTAATACACTGTCAGCTCACTCCAGCCCGTGGACCAGGCGTGGCCCACCACCTGCTTTGATAAAAGACCTGTTATGGAAACACAGCCACACTGATCTGTTTATCTGTGTGCTCTGGTGACTTTTACACCATAGCAGCAGACTTAAGTGGTCGCCCCTGACCGTGCGGCCTTTGGAGCTGAAGGTCTTCACTGTCTGGCCCTTTACGGAAGGAGTTTGCCAACCCTCAGCGTAGTACCTTGCATGGTAAGAGAATTAAAACGCGATCAAGGAATGGAGCAAAACAAAGGAGTGTGATTATAGAGGGCCCCGGTGAGGGGCTGACTGAGCAGTGACCTGGGTGGTGTGTGCAGGGTGAGCCGCATGGGTGTCTGGGTGCGCTGCAGGGACAGGGGCCTGCCAGCGCTAAGGTCCTGAGGTGGGAGCCGCACGACATTTTGGAGAAGCAGCAGGGGCCAGTGGTGGGAGCTGTGTAGACGAGGAATGCCTCCATCGGAGATTGGAGATGAAGTCGGAATGAGGTCGGGGACTAGTGAGTGCCCATGAGGTTGTGCTAGGGACAGAATTACTGCTATCAGTGTCAGTGTCATTACCACTATATTAGCCTTAGATCTTCGTGATATGTCAGCATGCCAGACCTGTGCCGTCTAGGGGATTACCTGTTTTTTTGTAGGAAGGCCTCAGCATTAAAGGGATGAGGGACTTGCCAAAGAAAGTCTGTCTCAGAGGGGACCATATACTGTTTATTCCAAGGGCTTGAGCCCGTCTAGTAGTAGGAAAAGGAAAGGAGGGAACCAGCATTTTGTGAATGCGTTCCATATGCTCAGCACTTTGGAAAAGGGCTTTCATAAAAAACACTAATTTTTTTTTTTTTTAACAAGAATCTTTGCAAAAGATTTTGCTGGAAGTCTGCTTGTATCTTCAGTGGTTTAAAAAATACCACGGGTTGATTTCAGATATAATAGAAGAAATATCGTGACCCATGCACAGAAGAAAATTACTTTCAGTTTGGGAAACAGTAGCTTTTTGGTTCAAGGAATTGAAGGAAATGTAAGAAAAGCACTTTGGTCCTGGCTTAGGATTGCATTTTCTGTTGTGGTTGATGTTGTTGTTTTTTAAATAAAGAATCAAAAATGTTTTTAGTTCCTCTCATAAAACTAGAAAAAAATGTACACTTTGCACAGTTCTAATTCAGTCCTGGCCGTAGATGTAGATGACTGTGCGCTTTACGATGTGCCCTTGTTCCTCGTGCTGTGATGAATTTGAGGGGCTCCCTTCGTCTCTGTGGCACTTTCTCGTTTTGCTTTTGGGAGGCACAAGATGCTGGGGCACTGCCTCCCCTCAGATGGCTGCTTTGGGATTCAGATGACTCCCTGTGGGGTCCTTGGGTGCCTCAGTCGACTAGGCGTCTGCCTTCGGCTCAGGTCATGATCTCAGGGTCCTGGGATCGAGCCCCGCATCGGGCTCCCTGCTCAGTGGGGAGCCTGCTTGCTTCTCCCTCTCCCTCTGCCCCTCCTCCTGCTCATGCTCTCTTGTCTCTCAAATAAATAAATAAGTAATATTTTTAAAAGAGAGAGAGAGGTGAATCTCTGTGAACTTGCCTCCTGACAGTGTGCCTGCCCCACCCACCCCCCGTGACTAAACTCTTAAGTGGACCGACATATTTTGCTCAATATGCACCTGTCGAGTGATTACACCATCAATGGCAAGTGCTAGAGGTCACAGTTCTGCGCCGTGTTAGTGACTCAGGAATCCCGCTTTTCAGCTTGGTTTGACAAAGGCAATGGCTGCCCTGTGTTTGCAGCCTTCCTTCCAAGTCACACAAGTATACTGTGTCATGTGGTTGTGCGATGTGTGCACAGGGGAAAGGAGGAAGTGCAGGGGGGCCGTGACGGTCGAAGAGCAAGACCCCGAGTCCTCTGTGTGCCGGACATTCCCCGAGGGGCCTCGGCTGTCATGGTCACAGCATCCCCGTGTGCTCACAGAGCCAAGTGCCGAAGCCGGTGAGCCCACGTTTTAGGAGACTAAGGACACAGGCAAGAGAGAACGGAAGGCCCCGTGCAGGCAAGCAGTGAGAGCGTTCTGGTGTCTGTTTGGAAGCATTATGCTGGGAAGGCTCATAAATACGTTTTTGTGCGTGGGGTGGCCCAGGCAGACTCTGCTCAGAAAGTGCCCTGGTGGAGTTATATAGAGGTTCTTCAGGAGAACCAAACACACTCATTGGTCAACGTCTAGAATCTCTGAGGGTTACGGTTTCTCTCTGGACCCAAGAGGTAGGCGCAAGGCCCAGAGAGGAAACACCTCATTTTCCCATGGAGTGCGACAAAAGTTAGGTGTCTGGGGCCATCTGAACAGAGGTAAGAAGCCGCGTTGCACCTGCTGTGAGCCTTGGGGGCTGGTCTCTGCCACCAGTCGCTCTCAGCCCAGGCCTCCCCAAATGCCACAGGCTGCAGAATGGAAGCAGATGGGCTTGCGAGAGCCTCATCTGATGTGGCGCGTGAAGGCTTCTGCACCCAGGCTGGTGCTGAGAGTGATTATTTCCTGTGCTGCCGGGGCCAGGCCTCATCCCAAGATCTTTGAAAGTCAGTGTCTGTGCTGCTTATAATGACCCTTTAAGGAAGAAGGGGTGGGTGTTTCTAATAAAAACTTATGCAAGACCTATAAAGCAATCAAAGGAATTTGGGCTCCTTCCAGAACACCCAGTTTCAAGTTAGCTCAGCTGATACTGCAGGTTTGAAGGCACGTTTTCATGCATTGGCCTGAAATCTTCGTTACGATGATTGTGGAAGAATAAGGACACCGAAGAATTACCAGTAACACCGGCCAGGCCTCATACATCCACGATCCTCTAATTGCTTGAGGTATTCATTCAGGTTAGGGTTGGCTTCAGGCAAGAATTTGGAATCCATCCCTATAATCTGTTTTCTGTTTCTCCCTCAAGTAACTAATATGTGCAAAAAAGCCATCTTAGCTGTGGGATTCGAAGTTGATTTAAAGCATCTTGCCCAACAGGCAGGTCCACAGAGACACAGGGACACAGATACACAAGCGTGAGCACACTCAGACCCCCGCACTCATCATCAGCATCAACATCAATGAAATGGTAGACGCGCACGGTTTTAACTGACCGAGGGAAGAAAATGCCTTAACTTCCTGAGCAGCCCTGAGGAAAGGCCATGGCTTTCGGATCTGCGGGCTAATTTTTATGTATTTGTGTGGACCCGTAAATGCTAGATGGATATTCTCCGTCAGTGCCTCGTCCTGAGACAGAGCCGCCACGTGATCAGCTCCTACAAAGCATGCCGTGCTATGCTCGTGGTTCAGCGTGTCTTTCCTGCCGAGGTTGGACTTTTCCCACCTACATAGTTATCGGGACAGGTGGTCTGGACCTGACTGTTGTGTGTTCAATCAGGGCAGCTTCTCGCCGCTCACTCCCAGTATTGCTGACCCCTGCTGAGTACGGGGCACCCACTGGGGGCTGCTGGGCTGCGACCACGTGCAGGGATTTCATTCGGTGTTCACATCAGTCCTCGAGGTGGGGGTTTCTGTTCCGCATGGAGCTGTGGACACAGTCCTGGAGAGCATCAGGAGGCTTTGCTCCCTCCAGGCGTGTGCCTTCTCTCCCCCAGGCTCTGCAGGCTCCCTCTGGGGTCGGAGTTTATAAACTGCCCTGGGACAAAGGACAGCGGTACGGGTGACTTCCATAGGTCCGCTTTGCATAGTGTTGCTTGTTACAGCAGAGTGAGCTAAAAATCCTGATTGGACTTGAGTGTTTCAAATGGTACCATCTTCATTCAGGTTAGTGCACCTGCGTGCTGTTGGTTCTCAGTCTCTTTCGGGGGGCTAGCCCAGCGGAGTGCTGGCGTCACGTTGGCTCTTCGGAACTCACCAGGTGGGGGCCAACAACCCATCGGTTCTGCTCCGGGCAGACCTCATGGCAGAGAGACGTCCATGATCATCAGCCAGTGGTTTTTTTCCCGGGCAGGGCTCACCCGTGGTTCTCCCTGAGAGCCATCCCCATGATTCTTCCCATATATAACAGGAGGTGGATGTCTTTGCCACTCAGGTCAGGCCATCTGGTGCCACATCACTTTAGGTGGGCGGCCGAGGTATATGTTTTGGTTTTTATGTTTGCCCTTTAAAAACTAATCATTTAAAGGGCCGGTGGGAGAGGAGAGTGGGGAGTTCGTATTGAATAGAGCTTCCGTTGGGGAACATGACAAAGTTCTGATGGTGATGGTTGCACAACCACGTGGACGTACTTAATACCACCGAGCCGGACACTGAAAAGTCGGTAAAATGACCAATTGTCTTCTGTAGATTTTGCCATATTAAAAAAAATGAGTAACTTATTTGCACTTTGGTCATATTCAAGTCAGGTTTCTCTAAAGGACTTTTAATTTTACTGATAGCCCTTTATTTGTTTTAACTTTTACTGCTTGCTCTGTGTAGAACATACTTTTTCATCATGGAATTCAGTACTGGGCATGAGACTCAGTCGCTTTTGTACATGTGAGTCTTTAAATGGGAAAATTCCGGGGCGCCTGGGTGGCTCAGTCGTTAAGCGTCTGCCTTCGGCTCAGGACGTGATCCCAGGGTCCTGGGACCGAGCCCCACACCGAGCTCCCTGCTCAGTGAGGAGTCTGCGTCTCTCTCTCTCTCTCTCCCTCTCTCTCTCTCTCAAATAAATAAATAAAATTTTAAAAATATAAATAAATTGGGAAGTTCCAAAGTATGAAGCACAAAGTGTCACGTGGGCCCTGAGATTCCTGGCAGAGGTAAAGAGTGACATGAGGTTTTACTGTGAGTAGCCCCGGAGGGCCAACTCCTGCATTGTCTTCGAGGATACTAACAGGCTGAGAACAGGGTGTTTTGTTTTATTTCTCAATTAAATGCCAGTGATGTCACCAGGAGTTATCCTTCCCCTGGTCTTAGAAATCCTCTATTGTTTGATGCAGAGTAAACTCTTACCCAGTTCAGCTGAATTCCATGCAGATCCCTTAGGTGAGACCACAGGGGCTGCCGCAGCGGCTAGACAAGCCGGGTTGGGGCCACCCTAATGAGTGTTTGCACGCCACCCTGTGTCCTCACAGCAGGAGCTCATCGAGAGCATCAGTCGCAAGCTGCAGGTGCTTCGGGAGGCCCGAGAGAGCCTGCTGGAGGACATCCAGGCCAACAGTGCACTTGGGGACGAGGTGGAGGCCATTGCCAAAGATGTCTGCAAACCCAACGAGTTTGACAAGTTCCGAATGTTCATTGGGGACCTGGACAAAGTGGTGAACCTTCTGCTGTCGCTGTCCGGCCGCCTGGCCCGCGTGGAAAATGCCCTCAATAATTTGGATGACAGTACTTCTCCTGGTGACCGGGTAGGTACAGTGTGGGAAGGCGTGCGCGGGGTGCTGTGAGTTCACACCGTGAAGCCTCACACAGCTCCTAGGCAGCCCATCCAGAGCTCTCCATCTCTTTCCGTGGAACTGACACAAACAGGTGCTGCCGGGGCACACGGGGCCTTGAGCACCGTTGTCATTGGACGGCAGGGCTGCTGTGATGTTTGGGAAAACTGGGGGTTCCTTGTGACATCTTTTCATCCGTTCCCAGTGATCCTTACTAATAATAATAACGGTCTCTTCCTCAGAAGTCTTTTTCACTTGACTACATGGAAGTGGCGCTCGGCTACTCTGACAGATTACAAGCACTCAGTGGTCATGGAATTCAGTGTTGTTGCTGCTTTTAACAGGAGTTCACACGGCAGTCTGGAAGGAGCCGAAGGACTGTCTGCCTTTTCTCCCTTTCTTTCTTTTTAAGATTTTATTTATCTGTCAGAGAGAGAGAGAGAGCACAAGCAGGGGGAGCTCAGGCAGAGGGAGAAGTAGGCTTCCTGCAGAGCAGAGAGCCCGATGCGGGGCTCGATCCCAGGACCCTGGAATCATGACCTGAGCCGAAGGCAGACGCCTAACGACTGAGCCACCCAGCTGTCCCCCTTTTCTCCCTTTTTTGAGGTGTGCAGCTTGGAACATGTCTCTTGGTGGGTTTACGTTTCGGTTTTTCACGTGCAAAATACAGGAAGTAATATCTACCTCATTGGCTTTCCTTCCTGGGTCAGATAATCAGCAAAACGTTGAGTTTGATTCAGTGAGTAGGCCGTCAGACGATCATCTTTATTATTAATAAGACTCCTTAACTTCTCTGAATGGGGAACAGAAGAGGCACCCCTCTCCCTTACTCCACGTGAGAGTGGTGTCAGCCACATAAATCTTCTAGAGAGTGCCTTTCAGACCAATGTAGCTCTGTGCTTAGCTAAGTAACTACCATTTGAACATACTATATAAGCATTTAAGAAAAACTGGGACCCTTGGGTGATGTTCAGATTCCATATTGCTGTTTTCCCCCTCTTTGCCAGGTGTATCTGAAAAGAGGAAAATAACATGAACAGGAAGGAGAGATTTATTTATATGTTAACTGGCATATTCTCAAGTATTGATTTAAGGGGAAAAGTGGTATGGTCTTTGCAGCTCAACCCATCTTTAATCCATCTTTCCCCCTCTGTGTGTGCAACGGACAAAGACTTTATTTAGACTTTAGGGATGATAGGGGCCCCTGGGTGGCTCAGTCGGTGAAGCGTCTGCCTTCAGCTCAGGTCATGATCTCAGGGTCCTGGGATCGAGTCCCGCATCGGGCTCCCTGCTCAGCGGGGAGTCTGCTTCTCCCTCTCCCTCTGCCCCTCCCCCGTCCATGCTCTCTCTTTCTCTCAAATAAATAAATAAAATCTTTTTAAAAAAAAAATTGAGGGGATGCTAGAAGGAGTCACAACAGTAAGGACCATGCCGGTGGTCCTCCTGGATACCAGACTGTAGACAACCGTACATTGGTGGCCCCCACCACATCCTGGGGTCCCTCCGAACGCGGTGTCTCATTGCAGTGGTCCAGTGTCCAGCATAGCCGCCTTTGGAGGAGAGTCTGTCAGGCAGTCGCAGCTTGGGGAAGCTAAGGTTTTCAGAGACAGACATGGTAGCCAGTTAAAAGACGCAGAGGGAGGTTTTATAAGGCTCCCTCCATCTTTCCACATAGAAAATGAATACGTGGGTTGAAGCAGACACGTCTGGTCCTCCCCCCAGTCTCTGCAGCCCCCTGTCACCGCTCAGCCCAATTGATTTTAACAGCCCAAGCGGACTTCTAGAATCCGTTAACATCTGTTTTCCTTTGCATTGGAACAAACTTGCCTTGCCTCCCCTCTTTCCGTGCAAACTCCGTGTCTGTTAGTTTGACGCGGAGATGGAGGTGTCCCACGGGGGTGGGCAGGATGCCCCGCACGGCGGTGTGGTCCGGGGTACGTCCTGGAAAGCCGCAAACCAACAGCGCTCTTCCTGCGCGTGGGCATTTTTCAAGGCGCCACCGTGTCCTAGATGCTCATGTGTGGCTGTCGGTAACTGCCCGTGGCCAACTTGCAGGGTGGCGGAACACCAGAGTGGCTGTGCGGGTGCCCAGGTGAAGGTCACACCGAGGACACGAACCCCCAGCCTCCCCCGGCTGACGACTGGAAGACATTTCATGCGTTCAGCTCTTCCTTTCCTAGTTTTCATTAAACTCGGAGATGGTCGGGACAGTTCGGTGTGTGTTTTGTAAGCAGAGAGAATGACTCTGAGTGCCACGTTTGGGGACTGGGGTTGTCTGTGCACCCCCCCCCCCAGGGCAGGATGTTTGTAAGGAGCCAGGGAGTCTCCCCCATTGCCCTGCATCTCTCCTGCCTGTCCTCGCTCCCTCACCTGTGTGCTTCTGTGAGTTTGCCCAGAGGCTTTAGGAATCCTGCCAGAAGGGTTTAGGAATCCTGCTCTGGAAGTTCTTTAGAATCTATTCCTTTTGCCGACTTCCCCGCAGTCTTGTCACAGACAGGTCTCTGACCCACCTGGGATCCCTAAGTCCTGTATACCTTTCAAGCTTCTCGAAAGTCTGTAGTTGTCTGTGGCTGGACTGCTCTTCTCATCACGGCTGTTTCTCTGAGCCCTTCAAGGCCAAGGCTGCTGGGAAGACGTGGAAGCGCGACAAGCCTGGGAGCGCTTACGGGAGGGCTGGGGCCAGAGCCTGCTGGGGCCACCGAGTGCGCTCCGCCCCCACCTTAGGTATTCCCGTGTGGACGCCATGGGATCTCTGGTCCCTGACTTCGGTGTCACAGCCCCCAGACCTGCTGGCGTTGTCGAGCTGTCGGCCGCAGCTCCTGCTGTAGCCCTGCTCCTCAACGGGCTCGTTTCGCTTTCTCTCTCCACAGCAGTCGCTGCTCGAGAAGCAGCGGGTGCTCATCCAACAGCACGAGGACGCCAAGGAACTGAAGGAGAACCTGGACCGCCGGGAGCGCATCGTGTTCGACATCCTGGCCAGCTACCTCAGCGAGGAGAGCCTGGCAGACTACGAGCATTTTGTGAAGATGAAGTCCGCCCTCATCATCGAGCAGCGGGAACTGGAAGATAAGATACACCTGGGCGAAGAGCAGCTCAAGTGCTTGTTCGACAGCCTTCAGCCCGAAAGAGGCAAATAAGAGGGGCCTTCCCTGGTGGGGGACAGAGACTGGCCCTGGGAGCTCCGTTCCTGAGGATGCAAGTAGAAACCCCAGCCTGTATTTATAATCTCCTGTAGCGCAAATCCTCCGGTAGCAAAATGGCTGTTAGGAAAGCAATAACTTCCGTGTGTGTTTGCGATGGTTTATTTAATTTTTTAGTTTCCCTTTTGAATGCGGAGCAGAATGTCGCACCGTTAGCCGCTTTTCCTTTGCAAGTTAGCGCACATGGCAGCGGGCTCCGGTGGACAGCGACTTGGTGCAGTCTAGACTGTGGGCTCTGGTCGCATGGTGCATGCAAGGGGTCGTTTTCACGGGTAGGTCCGCCCTTCCTCCCATCTTCACATCCTGAAGCAACCGCTCGGGAAGGAAGCTGAGCGAGTCTGTAAGGTGCATGAGAGGGGAAACCCTGGCGCACGTCTTGTCCTGTGATTCATCCAAAGCATGGGCTGCCACGTGTGCTCCCTGTTCGTCCGGTGGTGTGGACCACTCGTTGTCCCTCCTTCGTTGTCCCCCAGCAAAAACCACGATGATCTGTGATGCTCATGTATTAACATTTTGGAAAGGTAAATCGTTTCCGACTGGTGAAAAACCAGCTGTGAAACGAATAACCTACGTGTTGGGTTCACTCATTCTGAAATCGCCGCTTACAGAAATAGTGTGCATGCTTTAAAACACACGTACAAAACAAATAGCTTTAGTACTGGCATCATGGTTCAAGAGATGTTTCTCTGCAAAGTGAAATTAACTCGGTTCAAGGTGTGTCCAGTAGTGTGATGTGCTTGCTAGACATCTGTTTCCTGAGACCAGTAGCAGATTTCCGAAATTACTTTTTCCCCAGAACACTTATTTAGTGTGCATAGGGTTTTTAATGATAATTGGCTATTGTCTCTTTAAATCTGCTACCAGGCCATAAGGGTTACATTCCATTTACTTGTAAGAACCTTTCCTCTGGTTTTTCAGAGGTCCTATGGACTCTACAACCCCTAAACCTGATCTTCTTCAGCCACAGAATTTATAGATTCTGTGCCCTTTTTACTGGTTGAAATGGCAAGATTCTAATGAAAGTCTGTTCGCTAAGAAAACACTGTCATGCTGTCCATTTCCAGTGGACAAGTCACAGAACTGGGAGAAGAGATTTGCCAATCACGTATGTGACAAAGGATCTATATCTAGAACATATAAAGAACTTTCAGAACTGCACAGTAAGAGAACAGACAGCCCAGTTAGAACGTGGGCAAGAGACTTAACTTGGCGCTTCACCAAAGAGGATATATGTACGCATGGCAAATCGGCACGTGGAAAGATGTTCAACCACCGATGGCTTGGTTATAACATATGTTTTATCTACGTCATTGCAGACCCGGTGTGCTGCTTACAAATGCTCATCTGATTCGGTGCCTGGTAAATGGCAGGAGAACCCCTTGGATAACTTCATGTTGAGGTGATACCTGCGTATTTGTTTGATCGAGGGATCTTTGAGTTTTCCTCGTATTGCCATAAAAGTTTTCCAACAGGTGGGGAGACGTCCCTTTGCCAGCAGTGACCGTGGCCTTACCAAAACACATGTGCACACCAATGTCTTAACTGACCGGTGTCTATACTTCCTGAGCCAGAGAGGGTGAGCTGGACTCCTGAGCCACAGCATGGATGTCTGTGCCCCCCATAGAGGGGTCCAAACTGGCAGGCTCCAGTAATGCAGGCAATAAACACTCTTTTTGGCAAACCCGCCCATGCCAAAAAGATAAATGCCTTTTCACAAGTTGTCATTCCTATTGAATTAAGCTATTTCTGACTTGAAAAATCCCCATTCTGCGAATGAAGTGTCCTCCTTCCCTCCCGGTGTAGCCCCTTACTGTGAAAACTGGTCACTTCAGAAAAGGTGAAGCTGGCTGTCCACGGACCTCCATCATTCTCCCCCAGGGGGACAACCACAGGAATTTGAGTGTACTTTGCTTTTAATTTGGACAAGGCTTTTATCTGCGATTCTCTCCCCTCAAATACAGTGTTGTGAATCATTTTGATGATAAATATGTAAAATGTGAATGGTAGAATTTATGTGTCTGTATCTAGCCTTTTGAGGTCTTTGGAGGACATTCTCTTATACATAGCAATGTAGAGTGCTCTACTACCCTTACAGCAAAGCACATGTCACCGTTACTGTCCTGTGCCCTTCCCCTGTTTGCCTCTTAAACATCTGGTTAGCGGGGACCCAGAGACTGCAGTGAGTCGGTGTACATACCTTTGTCTATAGATATATTATTGCATATACAACAACAATCTGGTGCTAATGTTCTGCCCTTGGCATTCTTAGGTGGTGGCTGATTCCTCCCCCCTCTGTCATAGCTCAGCTCTGGAATGCTCTCTATCACGAGATTTCAGTCAGGGGCATTGCCTGTGGCTTTTATCCTGCCTTCCACTGTGGAAAATGTGTACATATTTCATGCTCAGCGCTTACCACTTACCTCTCAACACATCGTCCTGCTTGACTTTAGAAAATAAATAGTGTCTTTGAGTGAACGGAGCATGTCTCTGATTTACCTATGTTACATCTTTTTTTAAGTAATCACGCTATCCTCACCATATGTCAAATCCACATAAATTGCGGGATTGATTATTTGTACGTGTGTCACTGTATGCCAGTGTAGCCATAGCCGTTGCCACGGTCATGCTGTGTGACAAGCAGCTGTGAAACCACATTGTGCGGTAAAGGATCTCTTTAGCTCATGAATTTGTAGACCGTGATACTCCCTGCTCCATGTGCCTGTCATCTTCGTCCCGGGACCAGCAGTCTGGCCTGGGGATGTCCGTGGCAGGCGCATGAGAGAACCAACGCAGGCACAAAGGTGTTATCTCACGGACCTGGTTGTATCACACCTGCGAACCTTCCACTGTGAATGCAAGTCCCGCAGCTGAACTCAGAGCGGTTGTGGGATGTGTCCCACCTCTTCCTTGGGAGGAGCCATGAAGTTATGTGGCAGAGTGTGGATACAGGGTGTGAAGAATCGGGGCCGGGGATGAGCTCCATCTCCCACACCAGTGTCTAGTAATACGGAAAAACACTAAAGCGTCCTGGACCCCGAAGCCAGGTTCCCAGAGCAAGGCCACCTCTGCCGCTCCCTAGCCTGATGGACAGGAGCGAGGTGCTTGGCTTCTCTGAGCCTCTGAGTTTCCTCCTCTGTCATTGGAGAAGGGCCGCGGAGCTCAGGGGAGCTAATCGATGTTCACGTGCTTAGAGACCCTGCCCGCTTCAGGAAAGTGCTGCGTAAGTGGATGCTCTTGTGTGTTCCTCACTCCATCTGGACCTGGAGGGAAATGGCTTCCCTGAACGAGTCTGCCAGAGCCTGCCGGGAGAGGAGGATTGCTTTTGCTTGGGAGGATTAGAAAGGTTTCTGTTCTGGAGCAGGTTTGTGGGGCCTGAAGGCTAGACAGGAAGGAGAGGGCCTCTTTAATAAAAACTTCTTCAAACCTAGAGTGCATATTTACTGAGAATGGGGAAAAAATCTCTAAGTTAGACTTTTATAAAAGTGGATGAATACCACAGATCTTGTTTGCATTTCTGGCCTCTATCCAGGCTACTCCAGGTTGTCTCGTCTGAGGTGGGAGATGAGTAACTGGGGACAATTCACATGCGGCCATGGCTTGCCACAGTGGTGCTAGGCTGCGGTCCCGTGGCCGTGTCCCGTGGCCCACTGACGATGATGTGCGCGGTTCTGTCCCTGAGCACTTGCGTGCTCATGCTGATGAATCACACTGGTGACAGTGCTGTGGACCCATCGGACTTCTTGAGGGGGAGCTACCTTGGGTACCTTGAGACCCAGTCTGGGACGTGGGAACACCAGACGTTCACTCCATTTTCAGACCCGTCTGCTGGTACTGCCACAGGTCTGTGCCCTACAAGACAGGTGTTCTGGAGGCGTGTTTTCTGCATCTCCTGTTAAGAGAAGAAAAGCAACGCACGATGTGTTTATTCTTCTATGTGGTGCATCTTGAGTCACGGTGACCCACATGAACACCCCACGAAACCCGAGCTGTATAGTCGCAACCTCCTACCTCCCCACCAGATGCCCCCAAAATGCTTGTGGCCGTCTCCGCGTCGCCTGAGATAGGCAGAGAGGAAAGAGACGGGAGACGTAACTTGAGCGCAGTGACAGTGTCTTTGCCAGATTTCACCAAGGCGTAGAGCTGGGCTGGTTTAAACCCGGTTATCAAATTCAAAGGCGAGCCTGGCCAGATAGCGTTATCCAAAGTGGCGAAGACCACGTCGAGGGGTGTTCACGTGGCTGACGGCACCAGGAGGGGGACACGGATGCCGTACGCGGTGCGCTCTAAGAAGGACGCAGTTTGCCTTCTGAGGTGGTCTTGCTGAAAATACATCAACCCAACCCAAAGTGAGGCAAATTCCTTAAAAACAAGGCCAAGCCTTACCAGTTTTCTTAAAGGGGGGGCCAAGGTGATGAAAGGTAGAGGCTCTATTCAAAACAGGCCACCCGGCAAGCGAACACGCGTGACCCTAGGACGCATCCAGGGCAGTGAAAGGACATCCGCTGGGCTGATCGCTGACGTTTGAACAAGTCCCGAGATCGTACTATTGTGTGGATGGTGGCTTCTGGCTTCTGATTGTCGCCCCGTGGCTACATAAGCTGTTTCCGTTTGGGAAGTCCGGGTGGAGGCTGGAGAGGTCTGTGCCGCTCACAATGTTTTTGTAGGTCTGAAGCTATTTCAGGATGGAAAAGTCCAAAAATGTGTTTTCGGCTTTCAAGGTTTTCCTTTCGCTCATCCAAAGAGTATCTGCTCTTGTCATGTCCTCTCGGGAGAGGAGCTACTGTATGTGGAGTTCAGGTGTGTTGTCGTGAACAGGATCCAATGGAACGAGTCTGCGCTGCCTAACGTGTGTTTCTAACCCCAGTGCCTCATCCACTTTAGGTTTCCGTAACATGCTTGCCCACTAAATCTTAAGCCCTCAAAGCTCAAGGTGGGGAACTGTGTATATTTGTGCTTGTCTGCTGGGGGCCTGGTACAAGGGAGCGCTTAATTTATGCACAAGGATTGAACGAGCAAGTAAATAAAACAGGCCATGCAGTGGGCATCGCTGAGCGCCGTGAGATTTCCCCTTTTTTTTCCTCAGGAGACCTGCAGGTCGATTAGGCCCTTCGCATGCTCTACCCCCTTCCGTGCCAAGAACGGTCATCTTCCTTCCTGTACAGATAAAGATGCTCAAGCTGTCAGAGACTTACTGCTACGGGAGGTAATATATTCACATATCTCCTTCCCTCCTCTCTCTCTCCTCTCCTATTTTTTTTTTCCCTAAGAAACAGGATTATACTCATCAAGTTTTTGAAATTTTTCTGTTTAACAATGTCGGGGGGCGCCTGGATGGCTCAGCCCGTTAAGCATCTGCCTTCGGCTCAGGTCATGATCCCAGGGTTCTGGGATCAAGTCCCACGTTGGGCTCCTTGCTCAGCGGGGAACATGCTTCTCCCTCTGCCTATTCCCCGGGTCATGCTCTCTTTCTCTCTCTCTCTCTCTCTCTCTCAAATAAACAAATAAAATCTTTAAAAAAAATAAAGCTGGGAACTTTTCCCTTAACTATTCACCAACATAGTGTTGAATTGCTGTGTCGTATCACACTATGAGGATATAAAGTGGTTCACCAAACATATTCTCTAAATGGGGTTTTTTCCTCCCTGTGCCCAGTTACAACCTCGGTTATATAGCTCATTGGGTGTGTGTTTCAGTTACATCTTTGTACATATCTCTGCTCGTTTTCTTGGGATAAATTCCTTATGGTGGAAACACTAAGCAATTCAGGTAGAATTTTGGCTTCTCTCTAAAATCTAGTCCTAAGTGCCGCTTAGCTGACATTACGTGACTTTCTGGCAGTCTCATGTCTACAAAAGCCCCATTTGAAGCTATTCCCAGTCTTAGGTCAATTTCTCACAGATTAGGAATTACTGCGCATATTCCGTACTGTCTTCCCCATGTGTATGATGTGTCAACAAGCCTGTAATGCAAGCCTAGCTAGAAGGAGGCCCTTTCCGACGAACTAAGGGTATCTTCCCTAGTGTGTTAGCTGCCTGTGGTCTTTCACGGCTCAGTCTCGCCCTGGTGGGTGCCATTTCTGCTAACGCCTGTCTGATGATGTGGGTTAGATGCCGGGTCTGGGGGGACGAGAGAGGAAGTGAGTAGGAGACAGGTCTGACTCAGATGTGCCTTAGAAGTGGACTCTGATGACCCATTAGTAAACCTCACCCACCCCCACCCCCCCCCCAAAAAAACCCTGATAGGATATGTGATGAAGAAAAGAAACGGAGGTGCGCTGATCAACGAAAGAACGGATGGTGTCCCGGCGTTTAGGACCTAGCAACCAAGGGATTTGTTTGTTTTATTTTATTTTTATTTTTGTTTTATCTTACCCTTTTTTTTAAGTGGGCCCCATGTGGAGCCAAACGCAGGCCCAAACTCACGACCCTCAGGCTAAGGCCCGGAGACCAAGACCCGAGCTGAAATCAGGAGTCAGCCATCTAACCGACTGAGCCCCGCCCCCCCCCCCCCCCCCCGGGCGCCCCTGGGACCTAGCAACCGAGAACTTGGAAGGTGAGGACAACGGGTGGCAGCATGTGGGGACAGCGGAAGCCTGAGGAGACGGCCTTGGAGGCGAGCGGCTGGCTGGTGCGGTGGCCGAGGCCTCCCGGGTGCCCTGCCAAGGAGCAGCCGTGGAGGAGCAAGGAGGGTGTCCTTAGAGGAGGAGCTGCGTGGGCTTCTGTGCGTCCGGCTCGGTGGCCGGCCGCCCTCCTCCCCCAGACGCTCCTCCCCGCGGAGACTGCGTCACTCCTTAGTGGAGGTATGGCCCTGCTTTGTTGTGTGTGTCTGACTGTGGTAAAGTAGAACACAAAATTGATCATTTTACCACACCTTTAAGTGTACAGTTCAGTGGACATGCATAATGTTGTTTGGCCGCCGCCACCGCCCATGTCCGGGGCGTTGGCCTCTTCCCAAACGGAAGCCCTGTCCCCGTTGACCGCCACTGGCCACATTTGTGTCCCCCCAGCCCCTGGCAACCCCTGCCCTACTTTCTGTGTCTAGGACTCTGCTCTAGGCGCTGCACAGAAGCGGAATCCCACTATTTGTCTCTTGGGTCTCTTGGCTTATTTCACTACAATGTCTTCAAGGTCCATCCGTGTTGGAACAAGTGTCAGAATGTCCTTCCTCTTTAAGGCTGAGAAATCCTCCCTTGTGTGGAGAGACCCCATTTTGTCTATCCATGGATAGACATTTGGGTTTCCACCTCTTGGCTATTGTGGAGGGTGCTACTACGAACGTGGTGGGGGTGGGGAGGGGCAGGTATCTGCTTTCTCTTCCGTTGGGTATATACCAAGAGCTGGGATTGCTGGATCATGGGGTAATTCCACACTTAGTTTTTTGAGTTTTTGTTGTGTCTCCTGCCCTCCTTCATTGTGTCTTGACTCATTGACCACCCAAGTGTTTGCTTCACTCACTCTCAAAGATTAATTTGCTGTTCCTTGCTTTCCCATTTGGATGCCCATTCCTGGTCTCTTCTGACGTGGATTCGAGTGGTACCGCATCAGCGTCACCCACCAATGAAGACTAAGGAAAGTGTAAGTGGCTGACCAGCACAGAGGGCCACCTAATCCCACGTAGAACCTCTTCAGCTCTCTCCATTCCGCACCTCTGTGCTGTGACACCATAGTAACATCATCGTGGGACAGCCTCACTGGGGTTTTTTTAGGTTATTGCTCTTTATTTTATTGGTATTTCATTGCCCCGTTTAAAGTCCACCTTTCCTACTCCACAAAGCCCACCTCTTCTGAAACTGCCTGTGTCCTCACCATTTGCTCCCCCTTTTCTCTTTCGTATTCTCCAGTTACCCAACATGTGTAGCCCTCACATTTGGTCTCCTTGGCTAGGGGAAAAAAAGATAATCTGTCCCTGCGACATGCCATCGTTCCGCCCCTTAGAAGTGGAGACTTTCCAATCTGAACCAAAGACCCGTCAGAACTCAGGCAAAGTGTGAGGTATACATTGCAAGTGTTAATGAAAACTAGCACCTACTAGAACACCCCATTGAAAGGTTTCCCATCTCGGAGAAAGCATTTCAGAGTTCACAAAGCTCTGTTAAATTCGAAGGATGGAAATTACGTTCAGGTTATAAGCCAGAGTCTGGTAAGAATATTTGTGTTTTAAACTTCCTGAGGCCAGAAAATAACCAGGAAACTACAATTAGGCTCAGTCTCTAAGTGCCCCTTGTTCCTAAGGGTCCTTTACACTGAGCTCACATAGTGATTCCATATACATAGTCCTCAAACCCGAACAGGCAAGCAATAACAAGGGTTACAAGGAGGGGGAGAAATTCGAGCCCTAAAACATTGCTGGTAGGATTACCAAACGGTGCGGCCACTTAAGGAAACAACTTGGTGGTCCCTCACGATGTTAGACAGAGAGTTACCTTGTGACCCAGCAATTCCACTCCTAGGTACATACCCAAGAGAAGTGAAAACATATCCATACAGACACACATCAGTGTTCATAGCAGCATCATTCATAATAGCCCCAAAGGGAAAACAACCCAAGTGCCCATCACCTGCTCAAGAAACAGTGGTAGATGTATACAGTGGAATATTACTGGGCCATGAAAAGGAAGGAAGTACCACTACATCTATGGATGAACCCGCAAAACATGATGCTTAGAAGAAGCCAGACACAAAGGCCACAAATGGTAGGACTCTGTTTATAGGAGCTACCCATAAGAGGCAAATCTGTAAACACGGAGAACCAGGGGCCCGGGGGCGGGAAGGGGCGGGTAGGGAAGAACTCCTAAGGGGTACAACGTTGCTTTTATAATTCTCTTAGGGGGCCCTTCCTTTTAGCAAACAGTAGACAAGCCATAAAATGGCTGTCCTTTCTACCCAGCTCCCGTGTGACAATGGCCCCAATGTTCCAGAATTTTCTTTAAAGGTTTTAAAATGTTGGCGTAAGTGCCTGTGTAGGTTTGTCAGTGGTACGTGAGTCGGGCCAGAGGACTTGGATGAGACGAGATCCAGACTGTCGCAACAGCACCCTTCAAAGTCCTGGTGGTCTCGTCCAATGTTGGGTTGGAAGTGGCCCCTCAGGAGAGAAGGGGCCGGCTGCCTGATGGCAAAGGGGACAGCAAGTGTCTGCGGCAGGTAACCCCAGAGCGGCGGCGAGAAGCGGATCTCCTCTGGAGCCAAAGACAAACGGGTCGGTGTCTCCACTGTTCCCATTAGGTCATGGAGCTTGTCTCCACTCTTCCCATTAGGTCATGGAGCATTTAACATTCACATGAGAGCGAGAATGTGGTCGTGTTCCTCTTGACCACATGGCATGGGTTACAGAGACTCGGGGGGGTTCTGTTGGGAGTTTCTGACTCAACAAGGCCATCAGTGCTGGGCTGGGTCTCCATCTTACAGATGAATTCAGGTTTGAGAAGGAGTTCTGGAGGAGGCCTCCAGGGACGCATTTGGCCCACTCAACAAACTTCACATGCCCATTGGGTACCGGCCTTCTACTAAGTGAATTGTGAGTAAGTGACACACTGTTTATGCCCAGCTGGAGGGCGTAGGTCAGTAAGTACTTAACGACAATCGCCACAAATGCTGTCGTAACCGTTTGTGCGGGGTGGATAGTGTTCCATCGTACGAATAACCCACAGTTCCTTTGTCCCTTCTGTAGGTGGGTGTTTGCGTTGTCTCCAGCTTGATCCTGAACCATGCTTCTGCTGATAGTTTGCTCCTTCCCTTCCATTCTTAGAATTTACTGTGTAATTTACACACAACTTGCAGATTGCTAAAAGCAATATCCTCTAAATTCTGTTTGGAAAATATAGTCACTTTTCGTAAAAATCCTTGTTAATACATAATGTTTATTACATGAAGTAATAAGTAATTTTAAATTTCTCACTTTTAATTCCTGATATGATAAATATCAGTGGATATAAACTGTGTGAACAAAAACTCTTTGGGGTCATCAATAAATTTTTTGGTTTTTTTTCCTTACTGCAGGAAAATATATATAACATCATTGAGCATTTTAACCATTTTTAAGGGTCCAGGTCAGTGGTATGAAGTAGCTTCTTGTGTGCAACCATCACCTCCCTCCAGTATCCATCTCCAGAACTTTTTTCACCTTCCCAAACTGAAACTCCATGACCCAGTAACCACCTACCTCCACCTCTTCTAAGTGCAAAGGGTGGAGACCTTTTTGGTCCTGAGACCAAGAAGTTTAGCAACTGCCGACCTGGCACAGAGCCCGGGGCTCGGGAGTGCTGCAGGAGGCTGAGCCGCTACCCACGAAGCCCTCCCGTGCCCTCCCCACCGTCCCTGCTCCCCGAGGTCCGGCTCAGCCCAGGGCCTGGCGCCACTCACCTCCCTCAGAGGCAGCGGGCCCTGTCTCTGTCCCGCTTCTCTCCCCCTTCTCGATTAATCGTTTACCTTTTAAGAGCGTTACGTGTTTCTGGCAAAAAATTAAAACCGAGGAAGAGAGGATGCTGGGCATGGAGGGAAGGTTGTACCTCCAGGGCCCTTACCCCAGTCCTGCTTCCCAGAGGTGACAACTGTTAACCATTTCCTGTACCCAGAAATTCTCTATTCACATGCAAACATGTTTTATATGTTTGTATATATATATATATATATATATATATATATATATAGTGTTTATACATATATAAACATGTATTATACGTTTGCCCTAACTTTCACTGAAATGAAGCCATTTCTTTATTTTAGAATGAGCACAGGAGGGTGGGGGCGGAGAGGGGAGAGGGGGTGCAGAGGGAGAGGGAGAGAGAATCCAGGCCGACTCAGTGTGCACTGAGCGCGGAACCTCATGCTGGGCTGGATCTCACGACCCTGAGATCACGGCCCCAGCCAAAACCAAGAGTCGGACCCTCAACCGACTGCACCACCCAGGCGCCCCAATGGAGCCATTTCTATACACATGCTTTTGCAACACGCGTTTTCACTTAGCGAGGTATTTCGAAGAGCTTTCCTTACAAGCACACACCTCTTTATGTCACGCAAACCACACGTGAATGGTAAATAAATACGTCCCAGCGTGGGATGCCCCCATAATAAAGTCCAGACCCCCTGATGCTCTCCATGAACTGGCTTCCACGCCTGCTTCTGCCTTATCTATTCATTTCTATACTTTACCCCTTGTACACCCCCATTTTCCCCAATTGAAAAAGTAATAGACTTTTACCTTAAAACATAAAAAAAAAAAAAAAAAAAAAAAAAAATCACTGGTAATCCCAATAGAGGCATCTTGTCTTGCATTTTTCCAGCTTACTTTAGGATGGGCATAAATAAGATCACACTACAAACTTGTAGTTTTATTATCTGTGTTTTAAATTCAACCCATCACGGATGTTTTCCCACATTATGAAATATTCTACTTTTATATCTGCTAAGTCTTATGGCGAATGAACAAGAGCTCCTACAGTGTAGTTATGTACCAGTTATAATTCATCCTCCATTGCTTCATAACTTTAATGAAGTCTTTGTTATTGTTTTTATTTAAAAAATCATGCTCATGACAGAAATACCTTAAGAGCCTTGAACAGCCAGACATCATTTAAGAAATCACAGTCCGGGCGCCTGGGTGGCTCAGTTGTTAAGCGTCTGCCTTCGGCTCAGGTCGTGATCCCTGGGTCCTGGGATCCAGCCCCGCATCGGGCTCCCTGCTCTGCGGGAGGCCTGCCTCTCCCTCTCCCACTCCCCCTGCTTGTGTTCCCTCTCTCGCTGTGTCTCTCTCTGTCAAATAAAATCTTTAAAATAAATAAATAAATAAAAATAAATAAAAAATAAAAAATCACAATCCAAGGTCATAAACAGTGCTGAGTGAAAGAAGCCAGTCACAGAGGAATGCCTACTGCATGATCCCTGTTTTGAAAAACAGGCAGAATTGAACCAAGATGCTTGGGGGTTCATGCTAAGGTGAAAAAAAGATAAAGACAAATAAGGAAATGATAATGTTATATATCTTAAACCAAGTGGTGTCTATGTGGTTATTTGCCCTGTGATAATTCATTGAGCTGTACACTTAGATTGTGTGTGCTATGCGATTCTTCACAATACAAATAGTTTTAAAAACTCATAATCCCTCCAACCCAGTTAAAAATGTCTCTTACTAACTTAGCATACAGACTTCCAGTTCTACTTATATCCATGATTATATGTACTATTTTGTAACTTACTGTTTGTACTTGATATACTGGGGACGTCTTCCTTTTGGTTACATTACATTTTAATGGTAATTAGAATGGATGTAATCAAAAAGGTGAAACATATGAACTGTTGGAAAAGAGAGAAACTGGAACCTTCATGCAGTGCTGGTGGGAATGCAAAATGGTGGAGCCACTGGGGAAATGGTTTAGCACTTTCTAAAAAGTTCAGCAACACTTAACCATATGCCCCACTAGCCCCACTCTAGGTGTCTACACAAGAGAAATGAGAATGTATACCCATACAAAATATTACATAGAAATGTTTAGAGCAGCACTATTCATAATAGCCCAAACTTGGAACCGATCCCAATGTCCAAAAACTTAAACTGTGGCCTATCCCTACAATTGAATAGGACCCAGCAATGAAAAGGAACAAACTATTCATACGTGGCAGGACGTGGATGAAACTTAAAACATTATGCAAGTAAGCAGAGCCAAACACAAAATACTACACTGTGCTCGATTCCAGCCGTGTATTGAACATTAGCACATAGCTCCATTGCATGGCTACAGCATAACTTATTTAACCAAGCTCAGTTGTTGGACTTGACCGTGTGTCCCATTTTTCAGTATTACGAACAGTGCCATCATGACCACTTTATGACTAAATATTTGTGGCCGATCGTAATTATTTCTTTGGACGAATGCCCCAAAATGGAACTGCCTGTGTGAAGATTTTATTTATTTATTTGAGAGAGAGAGAGAATGAGAGATAGAAAGCACGAGAGCGGAAGAGGGTCAGAGGGAGAAGCAGACTCCCCGCCGAGCAGGGAGCCCGGTGCGGGACTCCATCCCAGGACTCCGGGATCATGACCTGAGCCGAAGGCGGTCGCTTAACCGACTGAGCCACCCAGGCGCCCTGGAACTGCCTGTTTGAAAGTCGGCACATTTTAAGGCTTTTGATGAATAGTGCCAAAGGTCCTTCACAAAGTGTGCTCGCTCTACGCTCCCACCAGCAGAATGTGAACGTCCCATGTCTCTATTCTCAAATATAGCTCTGCACACCCACGGGGGGTTGTTCCAAGCCCAAGGGCCCCACCCTCACGATGCTCTGTGTTTGTTTGCAGTTCCCTGGGTGCGCGGCCGCCATGCTTCTGTTCAATGGCGCTAACTGCCAAGTGGCAGGTTTTGCTATCACCACGGTCGGATGGATCCTCACCACCACTTCTATGGGCCTCGTGGAGTGGAGAGTGTGGTACCTGGACAACACCTCTCTCTTTCCCTCTGGCCTGGTGTGCGTGGGAATGTGGAAAGTCTGCATTTACCACCACATCAGCAACTATAACAGAGCCTCATTTTGCCACCGTTACAAGTACCGTGATACTTACCTCCCTCTTGATATTCGTGTTTCTCAAAATCTCCTGCTGGTCGCCAGCATTCTAGGCCTTTTAGGGAGAGCCTCCCTCATCTTTGTACTTAGAAATGCGTGCATGGGAGTTCTTTGGAAGAATGCCACCTTCATTCCATCTGTTGCGTCAGGAATTCTGAACCTGGCTGCTGGCATCTGTATCTCAGTCGCTGTGGTCTGGAATTACCACTCCGTGATGAATGAGGAGGGTATTACCTTCCCCCCGTCTCTCTCTATACCCTTCAAGCCAAATACTCAGGAGATTGGCAATGCCTTTCTGGTGGCATGTCTGGCTGCCTTCATGATGATGTTAAGTGGGTTACTCTTCCTCTCTTACAAATTCCCCATGGTTAGCCAAGTGCATCCTCAAACTTCAGAGATGTAAAACTCCCGGTTGCGTTGGCTTTGCGAATCCAGCTTGCCCAAGAGTTTATGAGAAGTATTAGTAGGATGTTCTATCAACTATTTCCAAAGATTCAAGACCATGGCAAAGGTAGTTTGGGCAGAAGGTGGCCAACTATTTCCTTCCTTTACCTTTACCTTCTGTGTCTTCGTTTCATTGATTCACCAGTTCATTGATTGAATTGAGGAAATTTCGTTTAAAAAAAAAATCTTCCTCACCTGCCACTTGGTCTTACTGGATCTGTATTTTAATTATTGTTGAATAAATAATCAATACTGTAAACCTAGTGTGTAGAAGTGAGATTTTTCTGTGATTCTCACGTTTCCTCTTAAACTTCTGCTAAAAACAACCAACTTTATTTCTTGTGGTATGGTGATAACATCACTCTATCATATAAAATTCTCCAAAATATGCAGAAGTAGAATAATAGAAGGAATCACCCCACACTCATTATCACACGCAACAGTTATCAAGATTCTGTCATATTAGCTTTATAGCTCCTTGCTTTTAATCTGTTTTTTTCCAAAGTATTTTAAAGCAAACCCCAGACATTATCATGTCCCTTCATCCTTATGTACTTCAACATTACTTTCTAAAAAATGGACATTTCCTTGCATGACCATATTATACCTAAAAAAAGTTTAACAATTACTCCTTGTTATCAAATACATATCAGAATTTTTAAAATGCCTCAAAAATAATTCTACGATTTTATCTTTTCCACGCAACATGCCCGCTCTGTCTCTTAAATCTTAAAGTATTTCCCTTATCTCACTCCCTCTGCCTTTTTTTCTTTTTGAAAATTTAATTTTTAACCTATACACCCAACGTGGGGCTCAAACTCAGAACCCCAAGATCAAGAGTCTCATGTTCCACCTACTGAACCAGCCAGGCACCCCGCCTTTTTTTTTTTCTTCTTAATAGTTTTGCTTTGCTGAAGAAAGTGGGTCGATTGTCCTACCATTAAACTTGTTACATTTCGAGGCTTGATTAGATTCCAGGTCAGCTCTTTGTGGAAGAGTATTTCAAAGGCAAGGCCCTGTACTAATACTGAGTATATTATAACAGGTGGCATATAGTAATTTACCTCTTTAGTGATGCTAAGATGGATGCCTAGATCCAGAGGGGAAAACTCAACCCCTCTTGTAAATTTCATCAGCCTTCCACCTTTTGATGGTCCTTGTGCAAATCAATTATTGCACTAAGGATTACAAGTGATGACTTTCTAATGTGAACATTCTTGTCAGATTTTTTAGCTGGGATGCTCTTGTAAAGAAGAACTTTCCCTCATCAAGTATGGCCACTTGTGTTCTCTAAAATGCAGCTCATACGCAAAAGACAAGGTAAATGCTTCATTTTTTTCCCTTTAATTGTTAAATTTCTAGAGGAAGGAGGAAGAATGCATTAATTATCTTGGTGTTGACCTATGTATTTTTTAAATTGTTTTCAGTATCAGTTTTCATTTTTGTCTTTTTTCTTTTTTGAGTATCAAGAACTCATGAGACTGTTTTCATGTTTTGGTTTTTTTTTTTTTAAAGATTTTATTCATTTATTTGACAGAGAGAGACACAGCGAGAGAGGGAGCACAAGCAGGGGGAGAGGGAGAGGGAGAAGCAGGCTTCCCGCGGAGCAGGGAGCCCGACGCGGGGCTCGATCCCAGGACCCCGGGATCACGACCCGAGCCGAACGCAGACGCTTAATGACTGAGCCACTCAGGTGCCCAAGGACTCCTTTTTCTTAACCACGTTGTCATTATCACACCAAGAAAAGTGAATAATTTCCTAATGTAATAAAATACGTAGTCCATATTCAGATTTCCCTAATTGGCTCATCAGTGTTTTTAATAGTAACTTGTGGGCATCTGTATATTCAAAGTGTTTCACTCAGCTGCATTCATTCCTTTTATGATCAGACTGTCCCATCTTTGGCAATGGAGCCACACGGACATGTGGCCTTTTGACATGTCTCTATCAGGATTATTTTAAAATTTAAAAAAAAAAACTTTATTCAAGACAGTTATAACCTATTTACTTCAAACAACTCTATCAATAAAATTCATTATATTAAAATGATTTTCCTAAAGAACAGAGAGAAGGACATATCAGTAATAAAGTTAACAACTATATGCATCAAATGTTAGATGTTGAAATTAAAGTATATTTATTTACTTGTGTCTCATTACTTTTAATACCAGTGGTTCTTAACTTTGTGGAAATTCTCCACAGAATAATTCCCATACACACAAAATTTTGTACCTGTTCACAGATCTCTTGAAACCTATTCATGGGTCTCATTTTCAAAATAAATGACAGTTTTTATAAATTGATTTATTGTTTTTTGGACATGCTGGAAACTCTCCCTTCTCATAATTTTCAGGTTATTTTTTTTTAAAGATTTTATTTATTTATTTGAGAGACAGAGAGAATGAGAGAGAAAGCACATGAGATGGGGGGAGGGTCAGAGGGAGAAGCAGACTCCCTGCTGAGCAGGGAGCCCGATGCGGGACTCGATCCAGGGACTCCAGGATCATGACCTGAGCCGAAGGCAGTCGCTTAACCAACTGAGCCACCCAGGCGCCCTTTCAGGTTATTTTTTAAAACAAATTAACTTCACCAGCTAAAAACCTACCTACAATATTAATGAGTACAGATGTACCCTGCTTAGAATCATTTTATTAAACATTTTTCAGTGATGGTTCCTATGTTTAAAGTTTAAGAAAAAAAGCGTTTTTTTAATCTGCACCCAACGTGGGGCTTGAACTCATGGCCCCAAGATTAAGAGTCACATGCTTTACTGGCCAAGCCAGGCAGGCGCCCCAGAAAAATAAAAGCATTTTTTAAAAAGGTTTATTTATTTTAGAGAGAGAGCACACAAGCCGGGGGAGGGGCAGAGGGAGAGGGAGAGAATCTCAAGCAGACTCCTCACTGAGCCCAGAGCCCAATGCAGGGCTCGATCCCACAACCCTGAGATCATGACCCGAGCCAAAACCAAGAATCTGATGCTCAACCAACTGAGCCATCCAGGCGCTCTAGAAAAAAAGCCTTTTTAATAAAAGCAAAGCATTACTGAAACCATTGTCCTTTTTTTTTTTTTTCAAGAAACCTGACTAGAAAAATGTCAATATTTCAAAGGGAAGAATTTTTCTGCAGAGACACTCCAGGAGCAAAGCAAATTCTTTTTTTTTTTTTTTTAAGATTTGTTTATTTTAGAGAGCGAGCGTGCATGAGTAGGGGGAGGGGCACAGGGAGAGGGAGAGAATCTCAAGCAGATTCCCTGCTGAGCCTGGGACTCGATCCCAGGAGCCCGAGATCATGACCTGAGCCAAAATCAAGAGTGGGCTGCTTAACTGACTGAACCACCCAGCTGCCCCAGGAGCAAAGCAAATTCTAAACGCAGTAAGATCATGGCGCTATCATAGTCTCGAGGATTTTGAGACATTAGCCTGTCGATAATGTGCATGCCTGCAATCTATGTGCGTGCCTGTTTGAACTTTTTCCACCTCTGAGAGCTTGCCGTCATTTTGATGAAGGTTGCTGAAGTCCATGGACATGGTATTGTTTTCATCTCAACTCTTTCAGCATGTTTTCCAGTATTTTTGGAAAAAAAAAAAAAAAAACCTCTAAGTCTTTTCCCAGAGCATGGAGCTCTTTTATGGCTCATGCCTGTTTGGATGATGCTGGAATACTTTTGTAAAAACACTGGATTCCTGACTACGTGTTTTGCTTGAAAAATCTGCTTTTTGCATTCAGCATTTTTTTCATGCTCTTTATGCTCCATTCTATGTCTTAGTGGATCTTTTTTTTGTAATTTTCCGATTCTCTGAGATTTACATTATATACTGGCAAGGTTTTGCCCACTGAAAACCCGTATTGTGACAGTGTGCTCAGTACATGCTGGTATTAGCCGTATCCCTCCTCCTGGAATCCAAAGCTGCACCATTTAATGAAACTCTTTACTAGCTGATTCTCTATCCCCATCACCCTGAGGGATACTTCCAACGACTCACGGTCAATCATGATTCCTGTGGCCTGCACAGCAGTCATGATGGTGGTTCCCATCCCATTGTTGTTACTAAAAATACTTTAACATTTTAATAACAATTTAGTAAAGTATAATTCACATACCACAAAAAAACCACATGTACGAGTGGTTTTTAGTATATTCACGTAACTGCAGCCAGCACCACTTACCTGATTACAGAACATTTCATCACTCCAAGAAGAAACTCCACTAGCAGTCCCCATTAGTCTTTGAGGCTTTTCTGTGCCTCAACAAGATGACCTAGGTGCATCATGTACATTTCAGGCCCAAGGCCTTGAACTAGCATGCCATTCCTTCAGTGAGCCCGAGACGTGGAGATGGTATTTAGAAATGAACAATTTAGGCACTGGTGGTGCTCATTCTTTGTCTTCATATCTAGGTATTTTAGTGGACAGAACTAGGATATATGATTTTTTAAGAGGAAAAAAATATTATAAAACTTTTTTCAATTCAAACTTGTAGAATCTTTAGCTGCAATTTGATATTACATTTCTTTCTCCCACATTGAAAACCCACCAATATTTTTTTTAAGATCTATTTATTTTAAAGAGGGAGAGCATGCCCGTGAATCGGGGAGGGGAGGGCAGAGAGAGAGAGAGAAGAGAAGCAGACTCCCCCTGAGCATGGAGCCTGATCAAGGGCTCGATCTCACAACCCGGAGATGGTGACCTGAGCTGAAATCAAGAGTCAAACACTTGGGGCGCCTGGGTGGCTCAGTCGTTGGGTGTCTGCTTTCGGCTCAGCTCATGATCCCAGGGTCCTGGGATGGAGCTCCGCATCGGGCTCCCTGTTCGGCAGGGAGTCTGCTTCTCCCTCTCCCGCTCCCCCTGCTTGTGTTCCCTCTCTCGCTGTGTCTCTCTCTGTCAAATAAATAAATAAAATCTTAAAAAAAAAAAGAGTCAAACACTTAACCGACAGAGCCACCCGTCCCCAAAACCCAACAATATTAACATATTTATTCTGTGAGTTGTAAAATTTGTAAATATTACTGCTATCACTATTAGCCATAAGACTACTGAATAAAGCTTAAGGTTTCTTGTAAGCCCTGTTTGTCTCTAAAATGCATTGTGTTAGGTGTATATAGTCAAAGTACAGCTTTGTAAAATTTGTTGATATAATGATGGTTATATCACCAAGTCGGTAAGCAATTCAGTTTATTCATTTCATCTTGTTTTCTATTTTTACTTTTGTGTTTTTGACATAGTTTTATTTTTTGAATGTGTGAAATA